TGGTGTCTAGCTGTATAGATATTCCCTGATTTTTATTAGCTAAACTTGTAAATCAAATACATTAATTTATTTTATTGCTAGTTAAAATATACATTTAGATATACACATGGATTTCTGACTTTTTTCTGCTTTTCCTCTCTATACTGATTTTTAAATGACTCTACAACTCTCAATTCCATGCTATACATCTTTAATTACATTTAGGTTTGGCAGAATTTGTTTTTTTAATCATTTTGATTTCTAAACTTATTTTTAAACTTTTTTTAGATTTTTATCTATTTCAATTTTCATAGTTACAGAAAGTTAGAGGGGTATCAGAAAATAATTTAGTGACAGACATTGAAATTCAAAAAGTTAACATTTTACAACAATTAAAATGTTAACACAAACTGTCAAAATCACATCAAAATATACAAATAAATATCCTTAAATCTAATTCTAATAAATTCTCAAGCAGCATTTTTCTAACTTTGCCTACCTGTAAATTTTGATTATTATCAATGGAAATATTTTTGTCTGTGTATGTACAGTGAAAATCAATGTTTACAGATAGTTACCAAAAAAAATCTAATCCTTCCAAGTTACATTCACTTTAAGGATACTTTATACTGTCAGTGTGGTGTGAAGGGCTGTAATGTAAATGAAACTCAGACTCACTGTGTATTGTACACATGAGCTCCTTTTCCCAAAGTTTGTCCCTCCTCCTGTCACAGGCTTCCATTAATTTTTGTTTATTGCCTGTGACCTGTCCATGACTATTACTAAAAATACCTGTGACAAAATCAAATTCTTATGAATAAAGCCCAAAGTGTTGTTAAATTTTATTAATAAATATTTAGATAAAAGCCAACTCACACTCTGGAAGCAAGCAATTTACATCGCCCATCTAACTAACTAGGAAAAAGATCTCCAAATAACTGTACAAATTCCAGTAATATGGTATCTTGTGAGTTTTCTATTTAATGGATTGAAGAAAACAAGAACAAATATATTTTACCTCTGCTAATAGGGCGCAGGGTTACAATTTTGAACTCTTTCAAAAAAGGAAGTATTTCAGAGGCATAGGCTTGAGACAAATTAATTTACAACTGTGGGGAATGAAGAGGGGATTTGGAATGGAAAATGTAATATTTATGTTGAATCGTAGGATCAGAAAAAACAAGCTTTTGCTTGCTACTGGTTTTCTTTTTATAACAGAGGGCAAATGGGGGCACCATCCATTATCACTGACTTCAGTGGGATTTTATATCAGCACTTAAGGTTATGTCTTTGCTGCAAAAAAAATGTGTATTTTTACATCAAGATAGCTATCTTCATGCAAAACCCTCGTGTAGACAACGCATAAGAAGTCTTCATGTCAATGTAGCTAGTCAAAATCAACCTCTAAACCCCCCCCCACCTGGAATTTGTAGTTAGTTGATAAGTCACAGATGGGGGATATAGTGTTGACCTCAACTACACTGAGGTAAAACTACATGTGTCTTGTCTACCCTAGGACTTTACAACAAGATAGCTATCTCAAGTTTTCTATGTTAATATAAAAAACATATCTTGTTTGCAGTGAAGATATTCCCAAGAGCCATTTAGTAGATGTCTATACAATACAAATCATAACACAAGTAGGAATGACTACTGTTAATGTAGAAAAGGGTGTAATATAGGAGGAGGTGATTATAAGCACTAGGAAATTAAAATCCTTAGACCCAGCATTGAGGTGATATAAATATACCATTAGAGGTAAGAAATACAGTATAACTAAATGGCAAGGTTCAAGAGGGTTATTCAGGCCAAACAAGTATAATTACAAAAATGGAAATCCAACACTAGTGGAGCTTAAGGCAATATGTAAAATGGAAATTAGGGGGGTTAAAATGGAATTTAAAGAGCAAAAAGCCAAAGGTATAAAAACCAAGAAAATATTCAGTATATCGGGCATTGGATCTCTGCAAGAGAATTGGTAGTTCAGTTGTTGTCCGGCTATACTGAAAGAAGGACAGGAGACATTTGATATGGTTTTAATTAGGCTGCAACTTTACTATTTGCTTAAAACTGTACAGTGTGGGTAACC